AAAGAAAAAAAAATTTGCATTCATGCCTACAGTATACAAGCATTCCCTTGCTTCCACATCAGTGCCAATACTTATGTTTCATCTTCTGCGATAATGTGTATTCTGATAGTTATGAGGTGATATTTCAGTGCGGTTTTAATTTGAACTTCTCTAATGATTAATGATTTTGAGAGTCTTTATATCTATCTATCTATCTATCTATCTATCTATCTATCTATCTATCTGTCAATTGCTTGTATGTCTTGTTTTGAGATATATCTGTTTGGATCTTTTATCCATTTTTAGTTGAGTTTCTAATATATTCTGCATATTAACCCCTTATCAGAGTTATCACTTGAAAACATGTTCGCCCACTCTGAAGATTTTCTCTTCACTCTATATATGTTGTTTTCTTTGTTACGTAGAAGCTTTTTATTTTGAGATAATCACATTTGTCTACTTTCCCTTTTATTGTCTGTGTTTTTGTAGTCATATCCAAAATACCATTGCCTATGTCAGTGTCATGAATTTAACTTGCCAGAATTCTGTTTGAAAATTTTGTATATATGTTCTCTTCTTTTGTTAGTATCATTTTCTGGCTTTGGTACCAGAGTAATGCTGACCTGGAATGGTTAGGAACGGTTTCATCCTCTTCAATTTTTTGGAAGTGTTTGAGAAGGATTGATATTAGTTCTATAAATGTTTGGTAGAATTCACCAGGAGGACCATTGTTTCTGAATATATACTTATAGTAGTTTTTAAGTACCTAATAGTCTTCTCTAAGGAGAGGAAGGAAAATGATTAAGGAAGTCACATGTGAGCTTAAACTGTATTTGTGATATTTAGCAAATACGTGGGTGTTAATCATATGACTCTATGTTTTGTATGGCTAAAATAGTTCATAATTGCAAAAAAGGAGGAGTCAGTGAGTAATTTGAGAATCCAGACTTTTAAAAACATGTATAATTCTAGATGTTGAAAAAACTACTACAAATATATATATTCAGAAACAAATAACGTATAAATAAAATTGATGTATGTCTGGGAAAAATAGATACTTTTTTTATGATATAAAATTCAGACCTGGGACTAAGATTTAGTTCAGTAAATGTAAAGTGCTTTGATTCCTTTAACAAAGGTAATGAAACATTAATGTTAAATCATATAGAAAAAACTTAAAATTTATATTCATAAATCACATTTTTTTTTTAAGAAAATAAGCGGTGGATCACATCTGCAGTTGTGGTGCATGTCTGTAATCCTAGTATTTGGGAAGCTGAAGCAGAAGAATTGCCATGAGTGCAAGGCCAGCCTGGGCTACAAAATGAGTCCAAGGCCTGCCTGAAGTACATAGTGAGACACTGTCTTAGAAAAAATTCATTTTTGATTACTTTTAGGTAACTCTTTTGTTTTAAATCACTCTAAATCATAACGCATAAATATTTACTTCTAGATAAGTTAGAGATTATTATTTCCATTTATTTTTACTTTATATTTTTTATTAGTACATATTTGTCATATATGTTGATTACATTCGTCATAGGGAGTTTGTACCTGTACATAATATATATTGATTCTTCTTTTTTTCCTCATTCCCCTCCCCTCCTTTTAGTCTTTCTTCCCTCTGCATTTACAAAATCTGTTTCTGTTTTTTCCTTGTATTCTTTTTTCCTTTTCCCTTCCTTCTTTTTATTTTTATTTTTTACTTTTTTTTTTGGTTTTTCTCCGGTACCGGGAACCGAACTCACAACCTTGCGCTTTCCAGGCAGGCGCTGTGCCGCTGAGCTAAATCCCCAACCCCTTCCTTTTATTTTTTGAAGAGTTATTTTTGAGGAAGCTAAGGGAAGTAGGTCAGTGTTAGAACTCCTGTGTAGTGTGTGAGAATCCCTGAATTTGATGACCCAGTCCTGTATAAATAAAGATTGATTGAGAATTTTTTAAAGGAAGTTTTTCAAATTTATTCTCTGAGGAATAGTCTAAGTTTAGTTAAGATTTTGAATGTCTGTTCACTGCCAGTTAAAAAGTGCTTTTTGGTAATGTAGCTGTGCTTTCTGGATTATAACTTAGTGTTATAGCTACTATGATTTATGGTGATGAAATTTGTTTTTGTTTTGTTTTGTTGATCTTTTGAGACAGAATTTCACTATGCAGTTCATGCTGGCCTTGAACTCACTTGTAGCCCAGGCTGTCCTCAAATTCTCAGCAATCCTCCTGCCTCAGCCTCCTGAGTGCTGGGATTACAGATATGTGCCACCATGCCCAGCGTGGAGCTAATAATATTTAACATGATTACCAAATGTGTTGTTTTGGGGAGAACCTTAAGAGAAATTCTCTACTGAAAAATGAGAAATTTTAATTTTGCTAGAATTTCATTTTAATCAATTAACTTTCTGATTTACACTCTTATATTTCAGGGAAAGGTGGCTCAGACAGCATGTATGTCAGCTTGCAAGCATTTAGCCACATCCTTGATGCAGCTTTTGCTGGAGGCTGAAGTAAGGCAGCTCACCTTAGGAGCTTTACAACAGTTCAACCTGGACGTCAGAGAATGTGAACGTAAGACAATGAACCATCTTTTTGCTTGTCTTCCTTGCATACTCCATGGGGAAAATGTTTTAGATTTGTAGTGTCATTATTCCTGTTAAAGACAAAGAACACCTAGATGGCAGACATAATTTATAGGACATTTAGAACTAGAATCTAATCCTTAAGCTAATTTGAGTACCCAAAAGTCTCTAGGCCCATATTTTGAACCAAGAAAAATCCCAGTCTACAATGATGTTTTTATTTTAGAATGGCATGTAAAGTAGATACCATAGAAAACTGATTTGTTGCAAAGATATTAAGAAATACAGTTACCAACCACTTCCTTTTTAGATTCTATTTGTCTTTTTTTAATTATGTCTAGATATATCTGCAGACTCTTCTGAAGAAGTCTAAAGAACAAAATATTTAACAGTCAGAAATCCTTTATTCTGGGAAACAGAAAACCTAATACAGAATGGTTTTAAAAATTAGTTCTCAGAGATAATCATTTCATGTATTAATTGTCCTGTGATGTCCTTATGGTGCCAAGTTCATTTGTTTCTTCTTTACACTATTTAGAGTATGGACTTTATCCTGATATATTAGAGTCAGAAGAGACCCACAGTTAAGACAGGAATAAAGGCCAGCCTCACTTCTTTTTTTAAAGAAATACAGTAGAAACTTTTTCAGGGGAGTAATACCACACTTCCCTGCATGTCTTTGATGAAAACACTCCTTCATAGTCACTTCCAGCTCCAAGGAAGTCTGCGAGATCATCTGGCAAACTAAAAGAGAAGTCCTTATTGGCATATTTGACTTAGACTTATCATGATTTGTCTACTCAGGTTGAACAGAAAGTTAGACTTTGATTAAGAAGGAATGAAAAATTTTGTATTGTTCACTGGTCTGTCAGTGAAAAATTAAAATGAACAAGAAAATGATAAGATTTCTGGAATTTCTTTCTAATTCTGAAAAAGTTGAAATAATGAAAAATTATATAAGTATGTTGACAACCCTGTCCTATCTTCTTACTTTTTATTGGTTTCCCTAAGTTACCTTTTGATAGGTAGAAATTAAGATTTCATTAGCTATGCTATTTTTAACTTAATTTTAACTATCCAGTTGCAGCCATTACAGAGTAAAAAGTATCAAAGTCACCATTTTGTTGTAAATATGTATAAAACTGGATAAACTATGTGAAACAGTTTTTTCATGCTTTGGACAGTATCTGTAGGTTGCAGTCCATCAGAGACAGAAAGCATGTTGTATTAGCTTTATATTCACCTTGGCTTTCTATCATGGGCCACTAACAAAAGGACAGCAAAGTATCCTAACCATCCAGCTAAATATCTGGTTCATTCATCAAAATCTCAGGTTAGGTCTTAAGAGTGCTGCTCAAGTTCTAGAGTAAGAGCTACTCTACCCTTCACTAGTTATCATTTATTTACATGTTGTTTTGAAATGAGTATACATTCTGGAATGGCTGAATCAGCCTAATAAACCTGTGTATTATTTCACATCTTTTTTTATGGCAAAAATAATTAAAATTCCCTCTTGGCAATTTTTAAGAAAATAATACATTGTTATCAACTATAGTCACCATGATGTACAATAAATCACATGAACTATTTGTCTATTTGAAATTTTGTGTAATTTGACCTATACCTCTCCAATGCCTTTCCCCAATCTCTATCTGTGATAACCACTATTCTATTCTCTACTTACGAATTTTTTTTGGATCTACATATAAGTAAGAATAAACAGTTCTTTTGCCTTGGTTATTTTTCTTAACATAATTCCCACCAGTTTCTTCCATGTTGTTATAAATCACAGGACTTTTATTTTTTTGGTTTATGTTGTATAGTATTCCATTGTATATACATACTACATTTTCTCTGTGCATTCATTAATTGATGGAAATGTGTCTTGATTCTGTATCTTGTGAATAATGCTGTGTTAAACACAAGAATGCAAATATCTCTTTGACAAATGGATTTTATTTTTTGGGGATATATATCAGTAGTGAAATTATGTTGCATCCAGTGCAGCTCTTGAGAAACTCTTGGCTGGGAGGACCATGAAAAAATGAAGGCAACAAATGCATAGGGAGACCCTGTCTCAAAAAGACAAAAAACAAGCAAACAAACAAACAAAAAAAAATGAAGGCAACAGTGAAAATGCAGAAAGCTGAAGTCAGGTGGAGCCTTCTCTCAGAAGGAGAAAAGAGCCACCCAGTGGCTGCAGCATATTTATTTATGCACTTGGCAGGTTGATGTCAGGTGAAACCCCTCCACCTAACAACTTGTTTGCCTAGCTCTCCTTGGGTGCTTCATGTTCACAGGGATGGAACAACCTGTTCATCTGACTCACCTTGGACATCCTGTGTTGTAGGGCTGGATCATGTAGCTCGCCTCAGGCACTCTATGTTCTCCAGGCTGGCCTTGCTCTAGCCCTGCACTTGTGATCCATATTCAGCTTCATCCACTCCACACAAAATTGCTGTATTGTAAGGTAGTTTAATTTTGAATGTTTTGAGGCACTTCTTTATTGTTATCCATGATGACTGTATACTACTTGATATTCCACCAATTATGTACAAGGTTTTCATTTTCTTCACATTTTCTCCAGTTCATATCTTTCATCTCTTAAAATTAAGTTTATTGGTACAATTTAGGTATATATAATGATCACATTATCATAGGAGTTTTGTACCTGGACATGATATATCTTGATACTTCTTTTTTTCCCTTTCCCTTTCTCTCCTTTTAACCCCTCTCCCTCTCTTTATTTATAAAGCTTTGTTTCCATATTTTCCTTCTTGTCTCATTTTTTCTTTTTCCTTCCTTTCCCTCTCTTTACCTGCCTAGTTTCCCTTTCCTTTTGAAAACTTTCTATTTCATAATTTCTATTACACATTTTGGTTCTTATTTACACTTTCAGTTTCTCACACCAGAGAAAAAAATGTGATATTTATACATTTTTATTTATTTCACTTAAGAGTATGATCTCAAGGTCTATCCATTTACCTATAAATGTCTCAAGTGTATCCTTCTTTATGACTGAGTAGTACAACAGTGTATAAAACACCTTTTTTTAAAAATCCATTCATAGGTTGATGGACATTTGGGTTGTTTCCAAGATTTTTCTGTTGCAAACTGTGCTGCTATAAACATAGGTGCACATATACTGCTGTGGTATGATGTTTTTAATTCTTTTGGGAAGATAACAAGAAGGGGAATAGCTGGGTCAAATGGGACCTCTATCCCTAGTCATCTTTTTGATAGTAGCCATTCTAATACATGTGATGTGATACCTTGTTGTGGTTTAAATGTGCATTTCTCTGTTAATTAGTAAGTTTTAGCCCTTTTCTGTATGTGTACTTATTGGTTATTTGTTTGACTTAAGACATGTATATTCAACTCTTTTGTCCAATTTTTATGCAGTTATTTGTTTTCTTACTGTGAAGTTGTTTTTTTGTATATGTATTTTTATACTAAACCCAATAGCACTCTTTTTCTAATCTAAGAAAGCCTAATTCAAGAACTGACAAGATAAAACTACGCTGCTAGGAAAAGAAATGTCTTCCAAATAAAATTCAACAGTCGTTGCAGGAAGAGGAAAAAAAAAATGCCCACACTCTCAACTACATATAATCTACAATTTTATATCAAAACCCCTAAAATTTCACATATAGAGAATGTGTTTTATACCATTATTAAAAATAGGCTATGGAAATGGACCCACTGTTAATGCAGATACTGAACATTTGTAGACAGAAAATGTAGGAAACCTAATATAACATAATTAGTAGTTTGAAAGGTAAGATGGACATAATGCATGACTGACTGCAAATATTTCCAATTTTCAGAAAATTATTAAACCACATATTCATGGAGTTTTAAATTTTTTTATCAAGATAAACACAAAGAAAGCCATATAAAGGCATAGTGTGGTCAAATTGCTAAATAAACAGTGACGAAAAAAATCAACCAAAGAAGAAAAGGCATGTAAGTGTTATTGCTGATTTCTTATCAGAAACACTACAAATAAGAAGACAGGAAATGTCATTAATGAGCTTAAAGAAAAAAGGAAATGTTGGCCTAAAACTCCATATTTTTTTTTAATTCTTAAAAATTTTAATTTTAATTTTTTGCTATGTATCATAACTATTCTTAATTGTCAAATGACCATAAATTGAGATTTTTTGCCATTAGAACATCTGCCCCACAACAAATATGGAAGGTAGATTTTCCAGTTAGAGGGAAATTATATTTTATGTTGACCCCTACATATAGTGCAGATTGAATTGTTCAAAGACATCCAAAATGGCTCCTTGTCACATCCTTTTTTAGAGCCTTGATGATACCTCATTAAGAAGTGGTACCCAAGGGGCTGGGGATTTAGCTCAGCGGCAAAGCGCCTGCCTGGCAAGCGCAAGGTCATGAGTTCAGTTCCCGGTACCGTAGAAAAACCAAAACAAACAAACAAACAAAAAAAAAGAAGTGGTACCCAATTCTCCTCCCCTTGAACCTGGCCATGCTAAGTACTTGATTATAAATAATAAAAAGTAGCCCTTTGTGACGTGAGGCTCAGTCATAAGAGAAGGTAAAAAATCCAGCTACCCCGTGGCCTTCACAGTGTGAGGAAGCCCAAACTGGCTTAGGGGGAAAGACCACATGAACAAAGCCTGAGAATATATCAACAAAGAGTGAGACCTAGCCAATTTCCAGCTGTCTCATTGATTTCTGTTTTTATTATTTTCTTTCTTTTACTTACTTTCTGTTAATTTACTCTTTAATTATGTTAGGTAGAAATTTAGATAATTTGAGATTTTATTCTTTTTTAATGTGAACGTTTTGTCTTTGAAATTATTCTCTAAATATTGATTCAGCTGAAGCCCACAAATTTGAATATGTTGCTTTTAATTTTTATTCAATTCAATATTTTCTGATTAATGTGTTCTTTTTGGATGTGTTGGTTATTAGACATGTGTTGTTTACTTTACAAATATTTAGAAATTTTTGTAGATA